TTTGCTAGGAGTCGGAGCGAAGCTCGTTAAAAAGCCGGCATCCTATACTGACCGAAGTGACTTCAGAATAGACTACATGATAATCAGTATCACAACTGGAGCCAATTCCGATTAGCGAAGGAGTATTAGTCTTTCGCATATGTCGAAATATTGCATGATCAACGGCGTCTACTGTACCTCCATAATTCTGTGAATTTTGAAATTCCGTCCTCTCGTTCACGGTTTTTTTACGGATTCCGAACCCTTTAAAAACTGTTCCACGAAGGCAAGCATGCAATTGTGTTGGCTTTGTTTAACGTAGACGTTCAGGAACTTAACAGTCTCGAGGTCTTTAGGAACCTTCTATACTGAGACTACGTTGACCTGAAACAGTCTGGTTCTTGAAATACTAAATAAAGCCAAGATCCTGGATTCGTGGGGGTTAGAGACCACAGCTATTCGTGAATAGCCGAAATCTGAGAATACGCAAGAAAATCTATAAAATTTTATAGCTAACTATTTTAATGTTGAAACAATTGTCGTTCTAAACACATTACTATTATTGAAAAGTCAACTTACGGCATTGCATAACAGCAATGCGTGAACACATCCATAATGATTACTCTTACGAAGACGAAAACTAATCAAGTTACTCTATAGTGACGCATATACCTTGTCATTCAAATGATATTCAGGCCTCACCATTTATTTACAACGTATAACGCAAATAAGAGTAACATAAGTACGTTCACAAGCAGTCAATCGTTTGTTTAAAGGTGACATTACTATTGACTATTCGCCTTGATTCTGTGAAAATGCAAAATGCTGTGTTCTCCAACTGTTACGTTATGCATGCAAAGAGAGGAAGCAGCTGACAAACTCTCCCTAAATTGTGCCGTTTTCGCTTACTTCAATCGTTTGTCTATCATAAAAAAAATTATTCATTGGCAAAAATAAATGAAAATAATTAGCAAATATATTTGATATATTCTAAAAGAAGCACTTGGATAATTATGTGTCCTAATGTCTTCCCTCGACCCACCCACCCACCGCCGCTGCCGTCAATATTCCGGGTAGCCTCACTGTTCTGCTAGTCAGGAATTAGCTGTGTTCAGGCTGTCAGCTGACTGGTATCCGTGATCACAAATTAGACTTGCTGAAATAACCCTAATAGCATTGCGCGCGTTAGCGTATTACGCAAACACGCACTTCACGCGTGCTTGATTGTCATTGGCTGGGATAATTACGTAATCGATAGGTAATTGGCTTATCGATTTTCGCATGCTCTCGCGAGCGGCGAACGCGCGATCGCCGCTCGCGAGAGCATGCAGGTGTCACAATGGCGCCATTCTGACGTGGCGCAATCTCCTGATAACACCTGCAAGCGAGCTCTCGTCACTGTGAGTACAATTCCGGTAAATCTGTTGTTTTTGCTGCTTTCTTCAGCACGTGGAAACCACCATCAAAGATAACTTTAAGAAGACGTGCTTTGCGTGGATATCTTAAAGATTTACGTAAAATTGAGCAAGAAGCAAGGGGAATG